ATCATGACCTGAGCCGAAGGCAGACGCGTAACAACTGAGCCACCCAGGCGCCCTGGGTCTGGTTTCTTTCATTTACCAAAGGGCATTGAAGATTCGTCCATGATGGGTGAATCAATAGTTTGCTCCTTTTTATCATCAGTAGTATTCCATTGTGCAGATGTACCATTGTTCATTTATTTACTAGCTGAAGGACATTGGGTTGTTTCCATTTTTTGGCAATTATGAATAAAACTGCTGTAAACATTCACTTACTGATTTTTGTGTGAACGTGTTTTCATTTCTCTTGGTAAACACCTAGGATTACTGGGTCATAAGGTAGGTATATATTTAAATTTACAAGAAATTGCCAAAATGTTTTCCAAACTGACTACCATTTTGTACTTCCACCAGGAACATAATGAGAGTTCTGGCCATTTTGCATCCTTGCCAGCACTTGCTAGCACCAGTTTTTGTTCTTGTTTTTTTCAGTTTAGCAATTCTAGGTATATAGTGCTATCTTGTGGTTTTAATTTGCATTTTTCTCATGACTAATGGTGTTGGGCATCTTTTCATATATTTATTTGCCATCTTTATATATTTTTAGAAAAGTGGTTCAAATCTCCACTTATTATTTTCCTTATTATTTGGTTTTGAGGGTTCTTTATTGTGGATACAAGTCCTTTGTCAGACATTGTATTTGTATTTTTTGCACCTTTGTCAAAAATTAGTTGTGTGGGGGCGCCTGGGTGGCTCAGTCGTTAAGCGTCTGCCTTCAGCCCAGGTCATGATCCCGGGGTCCTGGGATCGAGTCCCACATCGGGCTCCCTGCCCGGCAGGGAGTCTCCTTCTCCCTCTCCCACTCCCCCTGCTTGTGTTCCTGCTCTCTCTCTCTGTCAAATAAAAAAAAAAAAAAAAAAAAAAAAATTAGTTGTGTGGATGTTTCTGGGTTCTCTATTCTGTTCCATTCTTCTACATGTCTACCTTTCACTGGTATCACACTACAACTTTATATTAAGTTTAGAAATTGGGTAGTGTGAGTCCCCCAACTTTGTTCATCTTTCTCAAAACTGCTTTGACTATTATAGTTTTTTTACTTATCCCTATAAATTTTACAGTGAGCTTGTTAATATCTACAAAAAAGCCTGATGAAGTGTTTATTGGGATTGAGTTTCATTAGTGTTCTGTAGTTGTAAGCATACAGATCGTGCATATATTTTGTTAGATTTAAACCTAACCATTTCATTTTGGGAATGTTATTTAAATGGTATTGTTTTTAAAATTTCAAATTCCATTGTTCATTACCAGCAGATAGAAATACAACTGATTTTTATGTATTGACCTTGTATCCTATAAACGTGGTGAACTGTTACTAGTTCTAGGATCCTTTTTGTAGATTCTTCAAGATTTTCTCTGTAAAGTCATGGCTGGAATAGAAACAGTTCTGTATTTCCAATCTGTGTGGCTTTTCTCTCTCTCTCTCTCTCTCTTTTTTTTTTTTTTTGCCTTACTGCACCAGTGTAGCATTGGATAGTAGCAGTAAGAGAGCACATCCTTGCCTTGTTCCCCATCTTGGAAGAGAAACATTCAGTCTTCACCATTAAGTATGTTATCTGTAGAATTTTTGTAGATTCTCTTTATAAGGTTAAGGAAGTTCCCTTCTATTCCTGGTTTGCTGAGAGTTTCTGTTTGCTTGTCTGTTTTGGTCATGAATGGATTTTGTCAAATGCTTTTTCTGCATCCATTGGGATGATCACATGGCTTTTCTTTAGTCTGTTATTATAGTAAATTAGATTGATTATTTTTCAAATGTGAAAGATAAACCTTACAAGCTGTGATGTATTATCCTTTTTTATGTATTTCTGGATTGATTTGCTAATGTTTTGGTGATGATTTTTGCATCTATATATTCATGAGGAATATTGGTCTGTTGTGTTTTTATGATGCCTTTGTCTGGTTTTGGCACTAGAGTAATGTGGGTCTGAAAATGAGTTGGGAATTGTTTCTACCTTTTCTGTTTTCTGAATGACATTGTGTAGAATTGGTGTTATTTTTTTCCTTAAATGTTTGATAGAACTCAGACATTTGATAGAAACCATCTGGGCCTGGAGTTTTCTTTGTTGGAAGGTTTTGTTTTAATTTTATTTATCTGTTCAGAGAGAGAAAGAGAGACCCGCGTGAGTGGGGGGAGGGGCAGAGCTAGAAGGAGAGAAAGAATCCCCAGCAGACTCTGTGCTGAGTGCAGAGCCCGATACCAGGCTCCATCCCATGACCCTGAGATCATGAGGTCATGAGCAGAAATCGAGTCCAAAGCTTAACCTGCTGAGCCACTTAGGCGCCCCTGGTGGAAGGTTTTTAAACTACAAATTCAATTTCTTAATAGATACAGGACTTTTTAGATTATAAATTCCTTCTTGGGTGACTTGGTAGTTTGTTTCATTTGAAGACTTGATCTATTTCATCTGTGTCGTCAAATTTATGAACATAGAGTTGTCTGTAGTATTTCTTTTTGTTTTTTTTTTTAATGTTAAGGAGATCCATACTGATACCTTCTTTTGTTCCTGATATAGTTTGTATCTTTTCTCTTTTTTGTTGGTCAGTTTAGGTAGATGTTTATCAATTTCATTGATTTTCTTCAAAGAACAACTTTGGTTTCAATGATTTTCTCTATTGTTTTTCTGTTTTCAGTTTCATTGATTTATGCCTTCATTATTCTGCTTGCTTTGAGTTTAGTTTACTCTTATCTGCTTTCTTAAGAATGAAGCTTAGATGATTGACTTGAGAACTTTCTTTTCTAACGTAATCATTTAATGCTATAAACTTCCCTGTAAGCACTGTGGTGTATTCCACAAATTTTTATATATTTTCACTTAGTTCAAAATATTTTTATTTTATTATTATTATTTTTTAAAGATTTTATTTATTTGACAGAGAGAGACACAACGAGAGAGGTAACACAAGCAGGGGGAGTGGGAGAGGGAGAAGCAGGCTTCCCGAGGAGTGGGGAGCCCGATGTAGGGCTTGATCCCAGGACCCTGGGATCATGACCTGAGCTGAAGGCAGACGCTTAACAACTGAGCCACCCAGGTGCCCCTATTTTTAGCATGAACTCATGACCCTGAGCAAGACGTGAGCTGAAATGAAGAGTCAGACACTTAACTGATTGAGCCACCCAGGTGCCCCTAGTTCAGAATATTTAAATTTCCATTGATTCATCCACTTTGAACCATGGATTATGTAAAAGTGTGTTTTTCAAATTTCAAATAAATGGGCATTTTTCAGCTATCTTTCTGTTAACTGATTTCTAATTTAATACTGTTATTTGAAAACACTTTGTATGATTTCTGTTCTTTTTAAAATGTTAAGGTTTGCTTTATGGCCCAGACTAGGGTCTATTTGGTGAGTGTTCCATGTGTTCTAGAAAAGGATGTATACTCTGATATTGTTCTATGAATGCCAATTAGTTGGTTGATAGTGTTGTTCAGATTTTACATATCCTTAATGATTTTCTGTTTACTTGTTCTATCAATTACTGAGACGAGTATTGAAATCTCCAGTTGTAGTTGTGGATTTGTCTATTTCCCCTTTCAGGTCTATCAGTTTTTGCCTTGTGTTTTGAAGCTCTGTTGTAAGCTCAATACACCTTTAGTATTGCACTTTTTGGGGAACTGACCCCTTTATCATTATGTAGAATTCCTCTTTATTGCTGATAATATTCCTTATTCTGAAGTTTACTTTGATATTAATATAGCTACTCCCACTTTCTTTTGCTTAGTGTTTGCTTAGTTTTATCTTTATCTTTCACTTTTAACATATTTATATGTTAAAATATATAAGATATAACATTTATATCTTTATATTTAAAGTGAATTTCTTTTAAACAATATAGTTGGTATCTTGCTCTGTCAGTCAATCTAACAACCTCTTCTAAGGTATATTCAAACTGAATGTGATTATTGACGTGTTGGATTAAAATATACTATCTTGTGTACTATTTTCTTTCATTTTTTGTTTACTTTTTTCTTCTTTTTCTCTCTCTTGTGTGTTACCCAAGCATTTTAATGATCCCATTTTATCTTTTCTATGAACTTATTATTTATATGTATTTAAAATTTTTTCCAAAAAAAATTTTTTTCATAGTTGACCTAGGGTTTACAATATACATCTGTAATTAAGAGTCCACCTTAAAGTAATAGGGTATCATTTCACATGTAGGATGAGGACTTTACAAAAGTATATTCTCAATTCCTCCTTCCCATCTTTTTGATATTGTTGTGCTACAGTTTACTTTCGTACATCCTGTAGACAAACAGCACACTGCTGCTTTTGCTTTGACAGTAGGCTTTCAGAGCAGAAGTCAGCAAAGCAACCATTGGCCAAATTCACCCTGCCACCTCTTTTTGTATGGCCTGCAAATTAGGAATGGTTTTTAAATTTTTTAATGGTTGAAAAAAATCAAAAGAAAAAAATTTCATGACACGTGAGAATTACATGAAACTAAAATTTCAATGCCCATAAAGTTCTATTGGAATATAGCTACAATCATTTTTTTTGTTGTTTAAAGATTTTATTTATTTGACAGAGAGACACAGCGAGAGAGGGAACACAAGCAGGGGGAGTGGGAGAGGGAGAAGCAGGCTCCCCACTGAGCAGGGAGCCCGATGCGGGGCTCGATCCCAGGACCCCGGGATCATGACCTGAGCTGAAGGCAGACGCTTAACCAACTGAGCCACCCAGGCGCCCCTACAATCATTTCTTTATGTTTTGCCAATGTCTGCTTTCATACTTTAAGGAGAATTAAGTGGTTGCAACAGAGACCATAAGGCCCACAAAGCCTAAAATATTTGCCTTTTATAGAAAAAGATTTTTTGCCAACCTCTGTTTTAGAGCAATTAAAAATGAGAAAAAGAAGGGCACCTGGGTGGCTCAGATGGTTAAACGTCTGCCTTCGGCTCAGGTCATGATCCCAGGGTACTGGGATCAAGCCCCACATTGGGCTCCCTGCTCAGCAGGGGGCCTGCTTCTCCCCTTCCCTCTGCTTCTCCCCCTGCTCATATTCTCTCTCTATCTCTGTATCTCGAATGAATAAATAAAAAAAACTTAAAATGAGAAAAAGATTAATTTTATTTTACCTACATTTATTCCATTTCTAGCACTCTTTGTGTGAACGCAAGTTTCTGTCTGATAACCATATTCCTTCTGTCTGAAGAACTTCCTTCAGCTTTTTTTAATTGACTAAGTTTGCTAGCCCTTAATTCCCTCAGTTTTTCTCTGAGAAAAGTCTTTATTTCCTCTTCATTAAAAAAATATATTTTCTGTAGGTTAACAGTTTTTTTTTTTTCTTTTAGTGCTTTAGGCACTTCATTGATGTTGGTTTGTATCATTTCTGACTAGAAGTTAACTAATTATCTTTGTTCCTCTGTATGTCTTTTATTCTCTGGCTGTCTTTAAGATTTTCTCTTTGTGTTTTTAAAAATATGGTATGCTAAGGTGTTCTTTATTTGTCTGGCATTTATCCATGGTGGTCTCTGAGCTTCTCTGTGGTTTCCTGTCAGTCATTACTTTTGGGAAATTTTTGGGATTATTTCTTCCTATTGCATGCTCCTCTTCCTGGGATTCTAATTATGGGTGGGTTAGATTATTTGATATTGTCCAGCAGCTCTTGGATGTCTTATTTTGTTTCCCATCCCCTGTTGTTTTTCCTTTGTATTTAAGTTGGGTAGTTTCTACTGACTTACCCAATTCTCTTCTTTGGCTGTGTTGAGTCTACTGATGAGCTAGGTGAAGACATTTCTCATCTCTGGTATTGTGTTTTGCGTTTCTGACATTTTCACTTGATTTTTTAAAAGATTTTATTTATCTGTCAGCACAAGCAGGGGGAGTGGCAGGCAGAAAGAGAAGCAGGTTCCCTGCTGAGCAGGGAGCCCAATGTGTGGGACTCCATCTCAGGACCCTGGGATCATGACCTGAGCCAAAGGCAGATGCTTAACCAACTGAGCCACCCAGGCATCCCTCACTTGATTTTTTTTTTTTAATAGTTTCTATCTCTTTGTAGAAATTACTTATCTTGCATATTATTCATCTTTTCCATCAGAGTCTTTAACATATTAATCATAATTATTTTGAATTCCCTGTCCCAACATCTGGATCACATTTGTGTGTTCTGATGTTTTCACGTACTTCAATTTTTTTTTCAAACCCAACCTAGTGTAGGATATAGCAGACACTGAGGTATATAAAATTTGTATCTGGAAATGGAAATACCTTTCCTCTTGCTAGGCCTTTAATGGAGGTAAGGGATGAGTTAATCTAGTTGGGGTTTGGTCTTGGTTTGGTTGATACCACAGGTATCAACTTCTGTAGTCCTACCTGGGGTGTAGAGCAGGTGCTCGTTTGCCAAGCAATGTCTGCCTTCAGCTTTAGAACTTCTCTCTGCATTGCACCCAAGAGGAGGTCTCTGCATGCTCTTTTTCTCCTGCTCCTGTCCCTCTCCCACCGATACTCCACTTTGACTTGTTTCTAGAAGTTTGTTAGCTTGGGAGGTGGGTGGTAGAGTGTTCCTGGTTCTGGTTAGGCCTCAGGTTTAGGCAGATGTCATGTCCCTGCATCTCAGGAGGGTAGCCTTCTCATTTTTCCTGCTCCTTCTCCCTTGTAGTTCTGGAGCCAGCAAATATTCCTGCCCACCCCCCGGCATAGATTTTCTTTTTCACATTCCCTTCCCCTACAGATTAAATATTACGCTTTTTAAGGGGAAAGCATCCCAGTGGATTCATGCCCGTACACCTTTGGTTGTTGTACCCTCTCCCAGGTCTGCACCATAACACTTCTCTTGGGGCTCTTTCTGATCTCTTCTATGAGTTTACAGAGAAAAACCTATAAGAGGGCACAAACTCCCAATTTCTTTGGTCCTCTAGTAGCTCACTAGCCCACCTCTGGCCTTCACCAACTCATTAACCATCCTAACTGAACTATTACAAGTGTCTTGTTGCATCTACCCCAGGTAAGAGACCCTACTCTGCTTATCCTTTTGGTGCCTACCTCTCCTTAGATTCTTGGCCAGTAGGTTGTCCTGGGACTACAGTTCTCTGATTGGTTTAGCAATATTGTAGATTGTAGTTTATCTACATCTAAAATAGATGTATTTTTTTTTTAAATACTTACCTACATCCCCTAGTGGAAGTCAGATGTCTTTGTATTTCTACTATATTTGCAGCTATTACTAAACCATATATAAAAGAATATAAATGGTATGCTGCATGTGTTCTTACGCAGTTTTGCTTTCCATTCAACATCGTATTTGTGGAGTTCAGAAACAAAGGACAGATTATTACAGCAATAGCAATATCCAGAGGATCATCATTTGTACTGCTTCCCCTTGCCCCCAAGTCCCATGGGTGGACTGAGGTAGATGCCTGCATATGGAGTGGGTTGCATTATAGGAGAGGGACCTGAGGTTAGGAAACCTGGAACTGTTACAGTGGGCAGTAGCATACCCTGCTTTAAGGGAGGTATTGCCTTTATTATAATAGAAAAGATGCATGACTTCCCTTGGTTCCAAAGGAAGGCATTATATCTTTTTTTTTTTTTTTAAGATTTTATTTATTTATTTGACAGAGACAGCGAGAGCAGGAACACGAGCAGGGGGAGTGGGAGAAGGAGAAGCGGGCTTCCCGTTGAGCAGGGAGCCCGATGCGGGGCTCGATCCCAGGACTGGGATCATGACCTGGGCCGAAGGCAGACGCTTAACAGCTGAGCCACCCAGGCGCCCAGGAAGACATTATATGTACAAGCCAGAGTTGATCAGCGTTGCCACTGTGGACATTTGGGTTTGGATACTTCTTAGTTGCGGGGACCCGCCCTGGGCATTATAGGGTGTTTAGTAGCATTCCTGGCCTTTGCCCACTGCATGCCAGTAGTACCTCTTCTCCCAGTTGTGTCCACTAAAGTCTCTAGACATTGTCAAATATCTTCAGTGGGCAAAAATGCCCCGATTTGAGAACTACTATGGTAAGCAAACTTACCCTTGTCTCCAAAGGGAGTCATTATCTTGCAAAGTTCGCTCTACAATCTTTAAAAGATAGTCTAGAACAAAGAGCAGTCATTGCCTCCTTTTGCAAGATTTGTGGAAATGCATGTTATCCATGGACCATTGTCTCCCAACATTGGTTTTAACTTAATTGCATTGTGGTTAGAGGAATGCTGTGTATGCCATTGATTCTTTGATGAGACTTGTTCATGGCCCATCTGTGGTTGGTTTTTGTAATTGTCTTAAATGTGCGTGAAGACAGTGTATTTTCTCTAACTGTTAGGTGCAGAGTTTGGTATGTGTTGATTAGCAGATCATGACATTTCCATACAGATCTTTTATGTCTGTATAACTTTTGTCTGAGCTGCTAATTACTAAGAGAGGTATATAAGGCCTTTCTGTTGGCGAATTTGTCCATTTTCCCTTGTAATTGCTAATTTTGTATTATATATTTTGAGGCTATATTATTAGGTACATCCTCCAATTTGAGAGCAAGAACACTGTAATTTACTTCTAGGTATTTATGAGCTCTTTCCCATCTTGGGCTTCTGCCTCCCCCAACTTGGGTAGCTACTGGTCCTGTCCTGCTCTTTTTATTTTTTCCTTAAATTTTTTTGTATTCCCTATTTTCCCCATTTGTTGCTTTGTGAGTTATATTCGAATTATATTCTTTAGGTGGTTTCCTTTAAAATCTTAATACACAGGACACGAGCCATGGAGAAGATGCTGCCCCCAGGCTGCAGCAAGCCACACCTGGAGAAGCTGACCCTGGGGATCACCCGCATCCTAGAATCTTCCCCAGGTGTGACAGAGGTGACTATCATAGAGAAACCACCTGCTGAACATCATATGATTTCTTCATGGGAACAAAAAAATAACTGCATGCTACCTGAGGATGTGAAGAATTTTTACCTGATGACCAATGGCTTCCACATGACATGGAGTGTGAAGCTGGATGAGCACACCATTCCATTGGGCAGCATGGCGATTAACAGCATCGCAAAACTGACTCAACTCAACCAGTCTTCCGTGTATTCACTCCCAAATGCACCAACGCTGGCAGACCTGGAGGATGATGCACTTGAGGCCAGTGAGAACCAGCCAGAGAAGCCTCACTTTGATTCTCGCAGTGTGATATTTGAGCTGGATCCTTGCAATGGGAATGGGAAGGTTTGCGTTGTCTACAAAAGAGGGAAACCAGCGTTAGCGCAAGACGCCGAGATCTGGTTCCTGGACAGAGCGTTATACTGGCATTTCCTCACCGATTCCTTCACTGCTTACTGTCGCCTGCTCATCACGCACCTGGGCCTGCCGCAGTGGCAATACGCCTTCACCAGCTACGGCATCAGCCCAGAGGCCAAGCAGTGGTTCAACCATCACCTACAACACAGACCTACTTGCAGAAGAGACCAACTGCTTCGTGAACAAGCTGGATCCCAGCAGAGTGTTCAAGAGCAAGAACAAGACCTTAATCCCCCAAAAGAAAGGGCCAGTCCAGCCTGCAGCTGGCCAGAAAGGGCCCCCGGGTCCTCCCTCCACCTCTAAATCCTCTTCTAGCCCTGGAAACCCTGTCCAGAAATGAGCACCCCTACCTCCCCACCAGCCCTACAGCAACGATTTCCATGCACAGATGGCCCAAGCCTCAGATTCTGTGAGTGGCACCATAGGCCTCTTCCCATCTGCGTGAGCCAAATCCTAGGCCTTTTACTCCCGTTGGCATTAGCCAGGAGTTCAAGGGCATACTCAGGTCTCCCCTAGAGTCCTTTCCTCAGCCCTTGCCTCTGAAAGCTGTGGAGAGTTTCAGAACTTGTTTAAGTAGTTAAATAGAGCTGCTAAGAGCTTCCTCTCTTTCCACCCCCAACCATCTACACCCCTCAGCAGTGATCAGAGAAATCCCCCGAAGAAACCACTGATTTTGACCCATGAGGCATTAGAACTGTGCTGTTCAGTTGGTAATCACTAGCCACAGGTGGCTGTATAAATTAAAAACTCAGTTCGTCAATTGCATTAGCCACATTGTGAGTATTCATGTGGCTAATAGCTTCTGTATTCAACAACAGAGATAATGGAACATTTCCATCATCACAGAAAGTTCTGTTGGGCAGCACTGCATTAGAATATTTTCATGCTGCCCTTACTCAGATCAGTTCATTTTTGTTAGAGAATGTGGATACCTTAATTTGATGGGTCATAATGTTCCATGGAAATTCTTGAAGGTACAATTGTGTATGTTCTTTTTATTTTTCATAATTCTCACTGGTCCTTTTCAGTTTCCTATAAAATTTGTTGTTTCCAAAAAAAATTTAAAATAATAAATAAATAAATAAAATCTTAATACACATACTTAAAATCCCATATTTATCCCTAAATCGACTCCTGGGGCGCCTGGGTGGCTCAGTCAGTTAAGCATCTGCCTTCAGCTCAGGTCATGATCCCAGGGTCCTGGGATTGAGCCCCGAGTTGTCATCATCATCATCAACGTCAGGCTCTGTGCTCAGTGGGGAGCCTATTTCTCCCTCTCCCTCTGCTTGTGTCTCTCTGTCAAATAAATAAATATTAAAAAAAAAAAAAATCTCGGGGCACCTGGGCGGCTCAGCCATTAAGCGTCTGCCTTCGGCTCAGGTCATGATCCCAGGGTCCTGGCATCGAGCCCCACATCGGGCTCCCTGCTCGGCGGGGGGTCTGCTTCTCTCTCTCCCACTCCTCCTGCTTGTGTTCCTGCTTTCGCTAACTCTCTGTCAAATAAATAAAATCTTTTAATAAATAAATAAATAAATAAATAATTTTTAAAAATCTCTCCTCTCAATAATACAAGCAGCTTGGAATGCTTTAACTCCAGCCACGGCTCCTCTTCTTATGTTCTTTTCAGCTAATATTTTTGTTTTGTTGATTCCCTCATGCAAACACTATTGATATATTATTGTTTTATACAGTGTTTGTTTAAATTCACCCACTTTTTTTTTTTTGCCAGTGATTCTGCATCTCATTCCTTCCTTGTGTGATCATTTTCCTTCCAAGTAATTCCTTTAGTCAACAATTCTCCGTTGACAGTTGATTTTTTTTCTCAGTATTTTGAAGATAATAGCTCTGGCTTCCATTGTTGCTAATGAGAGCCCTGCTATTGGTCCAGTTTCCAATCATCATTCTTTTATAAGTAATTGGTCTTTTTTCTTTGGCTATTCTTTTTTTTTTTTAAGATTTTATTTATTTATTTGACAGAGACACAGTGAGAGAGGGAACACAAGCAGGGGGGAATGGGAGAGGGAGAAGCGAGCCTCCTGCTGAGCAGGGAGCCCGATGCGGGACTCGATCCCAGAACCCTGGGATCATGACCCGAGCCAAAGGCAGACAACAACTGAGCCACCCAGGTGCCCTCTTTGGCTGTTCTTAAGATCTCCTTTATGTCTTGGATTTACTCAACTTTACTAAAACACATTTGTATGTAGATTGGGGGCCTTGTTGTGACCTTTAAACCTATAAAACCACATTTTTCATCAATTTGAGAGGATTTTAAGCTATTATTTTGAAATATGCAAGCTGTGTTGCATTCTAAACATTAAAAAAGTAAGTAAATAAATCATGACAGCAGTTTGGTGGGGAGAGGTGGGTTGTGTCTGCAGTGTCTTTCTACAGAGTAGAAGGCCTTCCTGAATCTGCTGTGAGTTGTTACAAATACCATCTAGAGGTAAACCAGACACTGGGAGGCATGCAGGGAAGCAGAAATGGGAACGATGGGAATATTCCCAGGAAGAAGTTAAGGCTAAAAGGAGAAACCTTACTCCATGAATGTTTTCTCCAACAGCCAATAGATCCTCTCACTCCAGCTATATTTAACTGGAAAGATCAGGCTGTGTGTGTCTCCCTTGTACTGCCATAGCATAGTGTTCTTCCCAGAGAATAGCACAGCACATGGAATTGTCATGGCCTGGTTTTTTTGTTTTGTTTTTGTCTTTAAGTTAAAATGTGAGCTAGACTGTGAACACCACAGGGACTGTGCCAGGTTTGTTAAAATCGTATCCCTAGCACCCAGACTAATGGCTGGTGTGTAGTAGATGCTCAACAAAAATGCACTGCATCAGAGGTGCCTGGGTGGCTCAGTGGTTAAGTGTCTGCCTTTGGCTCAGGTCATGATCCCAGGGTCCTGGGATCAAGCCCCACATCGGGCTCCCTGCTCGGTGGGAAGCCTGCCTCTCCCTCCCCTCCTGCTCCCCCTGCTTGTGTCCCCACTCTCGCTGTCTCTTTCTCTGTCAAATAAATAAAACCATAAACAAAACGCATTGCATCAGAGAATGAATAATATGGAGGCAGATGTATTGAATATCTAAGTCACCTTTTCTGTTAGTTCTGATTTCACTAACAAGTTAAAACATTGATCTTATATGGAAGTTTTTAAAACTACCGTAAGGGCCTCTGGGTGGCTCAGTTGGTTGAGTGACTGCCTTCGGCTTAGGTCATGATCCCGGAGTCCCGGGATTGAGTCCCACATCGGGCTCCCCCCACCCTCAGTGGGGAGTCTGCTTCTCCCTCTGACCCTACCCCCCTCTTGTGCTCTCTCACTTTCTCTCTCAAAATAAATAAAATCTTTTAAAAAAATAATAAAACTACCGTAAGCAGGGTGCCTAGGTGGCTCAGATGGTTAAACGTCTGCCTCTGGCTGGGGTCATGATCTCTGGGTCCTGGGATGGGGGCCCCCAGTGGGGGTGGGATGTCTGCTTCTGCCTTTCTCCCTGCTCATGCTCTCTGTCTCAAATGAATAAAATCTTTTTTTTTTTTTTTAAGATTTTATTTATTTGACAGAGCCAGAGTTAGCGAGAGCAGGAACACGAAGCAGCGGGAGTGGGAGTGGGAGAGGGAGAGCAGGCTTCCCGCCGAGGAGGGAGCCCGATGTGGGACTCGATCCCAGGACCCTGGGATCATGACCTGAGCCGAAGGCAGGCGCTTAATGACTGAGCCACCCAGGCGCCTGAATAAATAAAATCTTAAAAACAAAACGAAACTGTAAGCATTTCATAAAATAAAATTTTAACACTGTAAAAGGTGACACATGATAAGATACTATTTCCTTTTATGAAAAACTTCCTACATTCTTTTAAAAATCTCATTTCCCGGGGCACCTGGGTGGCTCAGTCGGTTAATAGTCTGCCTTTGGCTCAGGTCATGATCAAGGGGTCCTGGGATCGAGCCCCGCATCAGGCTCCCTGCTTGGCAGGAAGCCTGCTTCTCCCTCTCCCACTCCCCCTGCTTGTGTTCCCTCTCTCGCTGTGTCTCTTTCAAATAAATAAATAAAATCTTTAAAAAATAAAATAAAAAAATAAATAAAAATCTCATTTCCCACCTGATCAGTGAAAGTATCATTGACTGGCTCCTTATTCACAGAAGGACTATTGCAACCCTATTCATACAGAAAAGAAAGTATAAAGTAGAGGTGTCCCTAGCTCAATAGGCTTTATGGGAAATAAAACGCACATGATGGATAGCCAAGCGTTACACTGTATGGTGTTGACTATTCCTTGGCAGAAGAACGGAAAGATAAGTGTGCTTGGAACCCGTGGGGATGGATGAACCTTGATCTGGTGTGGAATTCTGTACTGTTTACCAAGGGTATTTAGACAAACTGCCCGATTGAGTTCTCACAACTCCTGAGATACTACTCCTATCTTACAGGTGCAGAAAGGGGTTTGAAGAGATTCACCTTTGTTGAGGGTGATTTGCCCAAGGTGACACACACAGCCCTAATGATTGGTCCAGCGCAGAGTGTGAGATCTCGAACTCAGACTCTTCCAATTTAGGGCTCAATCTACATCCCACTACCTTCCTGGGAGATTGGGGAACGAAACGTCAGCAGAGAAAGGTGCACACTCGGACTACTGTAACATCGCAGTAGGATGAGTTCGGACAAATGTGGACCAAATTATCCCACCGTACCTTTTTGTCCAAGGTCCTGAGGTATTTCGAATAAAGCTGGAAGAGCGGGCACTTGGAGAGCAAGGGAGAGGTGTGTGGTTGGAGAGCAAGGGAGAGGTGTGTGGTTAGGTCTCAGGTTTTTGGAGAGGGGCGTGACCCAGCCCAGGCCGCTCTGGGGGCGTGGCGGGCGTGGCGGGGCCTGCGGCGGCCCGGCGCGCTTGGGGCGTGGCTTCCCCGCAGCAGTCGGCGGAGCCGGGGGGCTTTTCCCGCAGTTTCTCAACGGCTCTGCGGGACGATGGCGAGCGACGGGTCTCCGAGCGCGCCTTCGCGGCCGCTGCACTCAGCGCAGGCCGTGGACGTGGCCTCGGCCTCCAGTTTCCGGGCTTTCCAGATGCTGCACTTGCACCTGGATCTGCGGGTCGAGTTCGGGCCTCCGGGGCCGGGCCCCGGGAGCCGGGGTTTGAGCGGCACGGCAGTCCTGGAGCTGCGTTGCCTGGTGCCCGAGGGCGCCACCGAGCTGCGGCTCGACTCGCACCCGTGCCTCGAGGTGACGGCGGCGGCGCTGCGGCGGCCGCGGCCCGGCCTGGAGGAGCCGCCCTCGGAGCCCGTGCCCTTCCACACGCAGCCCTTCTCGCACTACGGCCAGGCCCTGTGCGTGGCCCTCCCGCAGCCCTGCCCGGCCGGCGAGCGCTTCCGGCTTCTGCTCACCTACCGCGTCGGGGAGGGACCCGGGGTGAGTTCGACTCCGGGGCCCAGCCCCGCCGCGGCCTCTCCCGGCCGCTTCCTGCCCGCCCTTCCTACCTCGGAGCTGGTGCCCGGACCTGCACTCATCCCCACCCTCAAAGAGAGAGAAGATGCTTCCGCCTTGGCCCGGAGGGGCCCGGAGCCTCCCGGTGCACGCCTCTCGCCCTCCCACCCTCAGCGCCCTCTCTTCCTCCCCGGCTGCCCCGCTTTCCCTCTTGTGGCTTCCGGCCAGCCTCCGAGCTGTGCACCCTTCGTCCTTTCCACCCTTCCTGCCTCTCCCCGCCCAGCGGTTCTGGTGGCATCTCCACGTTGTTTCCTTCTCGCACAGCGCCCTGTCTGGTTGCCATTTCTGCCTGCCGAGGAAGCCCTGTCCTGTGCGGCTTTCGGGATAACCGGCTATTTATAAATCGAATTTAACGTTTCGCTGGGCTTTGGGGCCCTAGGTCCCTGATAAGGAGCTACTTAGTTTTCCCTTTACGGCAGCCCTGGACGCTGCCGGTTAATTTGCCCTGGGTGCTGACTCAGCCCTTTGTCCGTGTGCTCTTGCGGTGCCACAGGCTGGAATAACCCTGAACCCCAGAGAGTTATTTTGGCTTTCTTCCGCGAAGTCCCAGATTTGTTTAATGGAAGAATTTGAGTAAAAATGAGAACTAGAATCAGGGTGTTCTAGGCTTTGTAATAAGTTGGCCCTGTTACTACTCTTGATTGACTCTTAAATATTGATTAACTCTTAAATATTACATTTTGGGGTGGGGGACAAATATTGGAAATAAAAGGATGGATGGTTATGTGGCTTACATTTATAGGAGTTTGGAACTCCTCCATAAAGAGTCCTGAGGCTGTGATTGCTAGCCATTTCTCAGGTAGGGTGGGTTATACGTTTCACCCGTAGGCTGCTTGCCTGCAATCAAAGTTCACTTATCTAGCTAGCAGTTCCTTTCACTCTTAGAGCTGGCCCAAAAGACAGTTCTGTTTCCATCTTTATTCAGGGAATAAATGAACCTGTGATAGAACTTGTTTAAAAAATGGAAAGTCCAAACCTCTAAGGCAAAGGAAAAAACCCAGTGCCCTCAAACACTGTAAATGTGTTTGGTTGCCCTGTTACATGCTAGCTTCTGGTTTGGGGCAGGAACTAGGAATTAAACAGGATACCTGGAAAAATTAAGCCCTCTCTGAAATTGCCTACTGAAAATGGCACCTCAAATTAAACGCCAATACTAAACAGCTTTCATTAGAGACTAAGAGCAGACACCCACACTTTGCACTGTGAAGGTCGACATTAAAGTCACCTGTATTTATTCCTTCTCATTGCCACCATCCCAAGTGAGGATTCTCACCTTAATCACTGTAGGTAACAGCCTCACCCTGACTTAAGACTCTTTCTTATAGAGCAGAAATACTTGTACTACCAGGCTCCTTCATTTTCTCCTCTATGTCATTATAAACAAAAAAAGGAATTAAGGTATGGTGGAGGGATGACCAGTATTTATTAAAATGTGCCAGGTACTAGTCTATGTGCTTGACAAAAGTTAAATGAGTTGTCTTTACGGAAGTGTCTAGTATAGTGCCTGGTACCTAGTGAATACTGTGTGTTAGTCTTATTGTTAACTCATTAAATTTCTTTCAGTAATAGGATTAAAGACAGTTTAGGGGTGCTGGGTGGCTTAGTCGGTTGACTCTTGATTTCAGCTTAGGTCGTGATCTCAGAGTTGTAAGATTGAGCCCTGCCCCGAATTGGGCTCCGTGCTGGGCGTGGAGCCTGCTTGAGATTCTTTATCACCCTCTCCCTCTGCCCCTCCCCCACCAAAGGATTGAAAATTTAGATTAACAAGAAAAGTGAGTAGATAGTACAGAGTTTCCATATACCCTTCCACATACAGATTGCTCTGTTAGCATTTTGCAAGTATGATACATCTGTTAACAATGAACCAATATTGATACAGTATTATTAACTAAAATTCATAGTTTTTTTTTTTTAAGGATTTTATTTATTTATTTGACAGAGAAAAAGAGAGAGCTGCAGCAGAGGGAGAAGCAGGCTCCCCACTGAGCAGAGAGCCTGATGCGGGGCTTGATCCCAGGACGCCGGGATCATGGCCTGAGCCGAAGGCAGACACTTAATCGACTGAGCCACCCAGGTGCCCCTAAAGTTCATAGTTTTTTCAGATTTTCATAGGCTTTACTTAATATCTTTTTCTGTTCCAGGGTCCCATCCGGAATACCACAGTATATTTAGCTTTCATGTATCCTTAGGCTCCCCTTGGCTATGACAGTTTCTCAGACTTTACTTGTTTTTGATGACCTTGACAGTTTTTCTTTTTTTTTTTTTTAAGGATTTTATTTATTTATTTGACACAGAGAGAGAGAGCGCACAAGCAGGCAGAGTAGCAGGCAGAGTAGCAGGCAGAGGGAGAGGGAGAAGCAGGCTCCCCGCTGAGCAAGGAGCCCGATGCGGGGACTTGATCCCAGAACCCTGGGATCATGACCTGAGCCGAAGGCAGTGGCTTAACCGACTGAGCCACCCAGGCACCCCAACCTTGACAGTTTTGAGGAGTATTGGTCTGATAATATTGTAGGATGCCTCTCTATTGGAATTTGTCTGTTTTTTGCATGATCAGACTGGGGGTTATTAAAAAATTTTTTTAAAGTTTATTTTTTACAGCAGTTTTAGGTTCACAACAAAATTCAGTGGAATGTCACAAAGGCAAAGTTCTGTCTTCACATCATATTGCGAATACACAGTATCAGCATGATTTGTGACTGTTTGAAGTTGACCTCACTCATCTGGCCGAAGTAGTGCTGGTTTTTCCACTGTGGTATTTCTTTCTCCTCCTTTCCATCTGTACTATACTCTTTGGAAGGAGGCTTATTAAAATTTTCACACACACACAAAAGAAACTCAAGCAAAGAAAAAGCCAACATCTCCATGTGGCATCTTTATGCCTCTTAAAAGTGTGTCTCAAATACCCGTGTTCAAAGCCTTTCAGTCCACCTGCCGAGGCATGCCTCCCACCTCTGTGTCTGAAACCTACCTCCAATTCCCAGAGATCGCCATGCCTTCTTCACGCTGCTATCTACCTCTTTGAAAATGTCTTCTTTCCTTTCCAGCCATCTCAGTCCTACTCACCTTTAAACCAGAAAGTTTTGCTTCCGCTATGAAACCTTGCCAGAGTTATCTAATTCTTTTATAAATTCTAAGTGGCACTTGGTGCTGACATACCCTCCTCCCCCTCACAGTTATATCTATGTTGTAAGTGAGGTAGAGCATGCAACTCTTGATCTTGGGGTTGTAAGTTTGAGCCCCACGTTGGCAGTAGAGATTACTTAAGAATAAAATCTTTAAAAACAAAATTTTAAAAATTATATATAGCCAGTATCTATAATGTAAAATACATTTATTCTGAAAGGGTAAGTTTCAGGAATGGAGAACACATATTAATCACAGACTTCTCCCACTTCCCTTCTGCTTTTCTGTGCCTTTTACACCAAGTTCAAATACAGCTGCCTCTCAATTGGTTTTTGTTTGTTTTTTAATGAGAAACTACTACAGCGTGCAGGACTCAGGAGGAAGACAGGATGCCAGGGTCAGAGGCCATGTCTGGAATTCTTGAGATACCTAGTGGGATACAGGGGGGAATAGACCCTTTGTGGTGTTTCTACCATGTGAGGTGGACGTCAATACCTTGGCATGGATTCCAGGGTGGATTAAATACACAGTAGGAGAGAACTTCCCAGTCAGGACCAAACTGCTGGCAGGATTGTAAGGATTACCTAAAATTCTCCCCTGCCAGCCAACTCCTTTTCTCTGGCTGGACTGAGCTCATGTAGGGGGTGTCAGTTTGGAAATGTTCTTCTATTCTCTTAGGTTTGCTGGTTGGCTCCTGAGCAGACAGCAGGAAAGAAGAAGCCTTTTGTCTATACCCAGGGTCAGGCTGTCCTGAACCGGGCCTTCTTCCCTTGCTTCGACACTCCTGCAGTGAAATGCAAATATTCAGCACTTATTGAGGTAAGAGGATTAAGGTTAAGACCTGCCCTTGGGATTGAAGATTTCAGATCTATCTAGTCACATTTCAACTGGTAAATTGTTACATCCGTCCATTGGTACCTCTGCAAAATTCCTCCATGTACAGAAATTTTATTTGTGCTAAATTCCATCAGCTTAGCACAAGTTTAGTTTCTTGAAACCTTTGTGTTCTCCAAGACAGGCTCCCGGTCATGGCTGTCACCATGTAGGTTGCCCACCACGCTGTTCTTAGTGCAAATCAAAAGGAGACTCTGGGTAAAATCTCCTAAGCTTT